GGGATGGAACTTCATAAAAAGTTTAAAACATATTTTAAGTTAGACGTGTAAATTCTTCAGATCGTATTCCTGCGACAAATTAGCTTAACTAGCATGTTTGTAAGAAGCCGGGGGCGCTGCACATCCGTATGTGTGAACATGGAGGCCCGGGGACAACCTTGAGTGTCATTTTTCAGGAGCTATCTACAGTGTTTACTGAGACAGTCTCTCTCACTGGCCTGGGGGTGAAAACGTCAGTGAAACTGGCTGGCCATCTGTCTCCCCTTTCCCAGCACTGATACTGATATTCCGAGCATCCACCGCTGGGACTCTCCTCTCCCCAAGGTTCTAGACTCAGATCTTCATGCTGTGCTTAACTGACTGAGCCACCTCTGCCGCCCAAGTTGCTTAACATGCTTTTCAAGAGCACCTTGCTTTTATTTTTAAGAAGTACTATAAGCTTGTCTGCTTATAATAACTGTGGGTTTTGTTTGTTTGTTTGTTTTTGTTGTTTGGGTAGTGTTAGGAATCAGTCCCAGGACTAGGTACATGCGACTAATGAACCAGATTCTCAGCTCCCCCAGATAACTGTAATAGCGTATGCTAAATAGCCCTATCTGGTGGCACAGGCTTGGCTCATCTTTCACTGAGTGGCAGCAGAGCCTTCTCCTTCCCTGGGTTGGGATTCATGCCAAGCCTTGAGGATTGTTATCTGATCTCCCTGAAGTGCTTAACACAGGAAGCTGAGTTTAAGTAGGTATGATTTCCGGTAACCTTTTCATTCATCTTTCTTGTTAATCTTCTCCCGTACAGTTCTGTACCAAAGAAGAAGTACTCCCATCTCCGCCGACCACCCCACCCCCACTCCCGCCGCTCCTTCCTCCAGGTACAATGCAAAGCAATACCCAGCTTTAAAAAAGGGCAAATTTGAGTCCAAGCCAGGAAAAAAAAATACCACAGAAAATAATCAACCATACTCCAAATAGCCCAGAAACCAAGAGGCAAGCGTTCTAGCTCAGCTTAGGCACGGCACCTCTGGACCACAACGGACATGGATGGACTTGACACCATCAGCGTGAGTCCTCTCAAATGGCCTGAATTTTCTAATGAAAATTTCATCATCTGCAGAGGAACAGTTATGAACCAAGTTCCTCCCTATCACCTGAGAAATCGCAGAACAAAACTGTGACTTGCAGGGTTAGAGACAGTGACGTCTATATATGACAGGGAAGCGCTACACATGGGATCTTAACAATATGGTAGCCCAAGCGGTTGCATGACACCATGGCCAGCTGACATGCCAAATGGATGGGAAAACCTCACAGGGCCCAACCACTAGAAGAAGAGATACACAGGCAATGAAGGACGACTGAGAGAGGAAGAATTAGTCTCCTCTGGGGGTGAGCACCCTGATAGGTTACCCAATTCCAAACACTAGCAACGGGCTGGAGAGACGGCTCAGTGGTTAAAGAGCACCGGCCCACCCATAGACCCTATGGGGAGAGCAGCAGAGAACACTGGTTAAGTCACAAACGCCAGTATGCACCTTCCCCGAAGCCAGGCTGCCTACAACAGCCTTTTCACCACTACTTACGGGACCTTTGGCACGGGCTTCATCTCTGGGACGGGGCTTTCCCCTTACATTACAGAGAGGCACTATTAAGAGCAACTGCTTCTGCCGGCTTTCGGCAACAGTAACCATTACTCTTAACCTGGCATCAGCAAGACAGCCAAGGCACCTCAACATCATGAAGCTGCTGTAGGAACGGGGCATGTGCGGAAGTGACTGGGGAAGGGCAAAGCATTCAGCATTCCAGACACCACCGCGAAGAGCAGCCACCTTACTGTGAGGACGGGAAAACAAGAACTGCGACCTAATAGCTGATATGCTCCTCCCTGTCTCAAGATCCCCATCTCCCGAACATCGGCCCTGTGAAGAGACTTTTAGTCTGAGAGAAAACCATGGCCGTCACAAATCTTCGAGCACGACGCCCTTTCGAACATATCTGAGGCATTAAAAGCAATCATGAAATAAAGCTATAAAAGAGCCTGCCACCATGCTCCCTGCCATGCTGATAATGGACTAAACCTCTGAAACCGTAAGCCATCCTCCAGCGCAATGCTTTCCTTTAGCAGAGCTGCCTTGGTCACGGTGTCTCTGCACAGCGACAGATCAGGCACCAACAATTTGTGAGAAAAAGAGGTCACGGGTTTGAAGAGAAAGACAAGGGGCCAGACTGGAGAACGAGAGTGAGGGAAGGGGAAATGATGAAATTTCATTATAACGTCAAAAAATTAGAGAACCTATTTAGAAAGAAAGAAAGAAAGAAAGAAAGAAAGAAAGAAAGAAAGAAAGAAAGAAAGAAACTATTTTTTACAAAGGAAGGCCTAGCTCCCTGTAATATTAGTCATTTAGTCTACCTTTGCTTCTCTGTTCTCTGCCCTCCCCACCTTGGGTCACTGTAATTAAACCCTAGGCCTTGGCAGCCTAAGCAAGCACTCTGCCACCAAATTATATTCCCAGTCCATTTAATTAGGTCAATTTTGTAACAGGGTCCCCAGACAGAGCAGCAACTTGAGATCCTCCTATTTTATCCTCTGGAGGGGCTGGGATTACAGATGTGACCCACACTCTTCCCCAATGTCTTATCTCATTATGCAGCACACTGGAGGACAGGTCACTCTCCCTACCTGCTTTTAATCAGTTCAGACATTTATTTATTTTTATGTGTGTGAGCGTCCTGCTTGAATGCCTGCCGAGGCCTCGTGTGCAGGCAGTGCCAGCAGAAGCCAGAAGAGGGTGATGATCCCCCAGTACTGAAGTCAGTACAGACGGTTGTGAAAACACCAGGCTGGTGCTGGAACCGGAACCCGGGACTTCTAGAAAAGCACCATATGTTCTTTATGCTCTTGCTGAGAGCTGCCTCTCTGGGCCCTTAATTTAATTATGTTATTATCTCAATTATCTTTTTATTTTTATTTATTTATTTATTGTTGGTGGTGGCGGCGGCGGTTTTTCAAGACACAGTTTCTCTGTGTAATAGCTCTGGCTGCCCTGGAACTTACTTTGTTGGCCAGGCTGACTTTGAACTCACAGAGGCCTGCCTGCCTCTGCCTCCCGAGTGCTGGGGTTAGAGGCGTGTGCCTTTCTATATCTATTTTGGTCATATTCTTCTCCCTCTCAATTCGTCCCAGATGTTCCCCATTTTCCTATTTTAGATCGCTATTCTTGGTTGTCAACTTGGCTACAACTGAAAATGAACTAAAACACAAAAATAGGGCACTCCTGTGTGGGATGTTTGCCTATCTACTTCAAATCTGAAACTTGAAGGTAGGAAGATACACCTTCAATCCAGATCTTTTGAGGTGGGAGGACCCACCCCTACTCTGGGCCACGTCTTCTGCTGGAAGCCTACATGGGAGAAGGAATGAACATTTTGTTCTTTGCCTGCTTGCTTCACTGCCCTAGCAAGCCACATCCATTCCTTCACTGGTCTAGGAGACTGCTTCTTCAGGGTTCCAGCATACACTGAAGACCAGCTGAGGCATCCACCCTCATAAAGGGAACAACACCTGGATTCCTGGACCTTCCATTCAGAGGCAGCCATTGTTGTATTAGCTGGACTGAAGCATAGAAGTCATTCTAATAAATATATCTAGAAAGAGATCCATTCTGTAAGATCTGTCATCACAGAGTAACTCCAAGTCAAAGGATCAAATGATTTTATTCTGACTTCCACAGGGACCAGGCATGCACACGGAGCATACACACATACACACACACATACACAGAAAGAGAGAGAGAGAGAGAGAGAGAGAGAGAGAGAGAGAGAGAGAGAGAGAGACATATATACAGACACACAGACATACACACAAACACACATACACACATTCACACACAACTCTTGATTAAAAAAAAACTTTTCTTCAGTTTCCATCTATTCTCCGTGTTCATACATAATATGGAATAAGCAGGTGATTTTACTATGTGCCCCCTAGTCTATTTGTTCCTAGGAACCTGAGTAAAGCAACCTACATCAGGTGTTTAAAATGCTTCCAACAAACATCTTAGGAAAACAGAAACCTTTACCTGTGTTGAACAGAAAACTAATTCAGGTCACTGATACATTTTATCCTCACAGCAAAAGACCTATTCCCTATTTATAAGGTAACATTTCCCCTTGATAAAAACCACCACCCTAAACAAAGAATAAGTACAGCAATGGTCACTGGCAAATGTATCAACACACAGAAGTGTGTGTGTGTGTGTGTGTGTGTGTGTGTGAGAGAGAGAGAGAGAGAGAGAGAGAGAGAGAGAGAGAGAGAGAGAGAGATGGGGGCCGAGGGGAGGGTGGGGAGGGTAAGAGCATACAAATATACTTGGATTATTAAAAGCAGAACAGGGAAAATAGCTATATATTTCTAGGTTTTATGCAAAATAGAGAAAAAAAACTTTTTCTTTTGAAGTGCATAGCTCACACGCTGGCTTTATTGAGAGGGCCCAGATGGATACTTTAGACACAGAGTAAAATTTGAAGATTAAATGAAATACAACAAGTACTCTTACATTTAATTTCATACCCCTCAGAAGGATATGAGTTTGTTATAATGAGTTAAATACAAAATAGTAACAACCGGGAACTAGCTAAAGGAAGAAGCACTGTTCCAGGCTACCCCCATTTCCTTATAAACAATTTACCTCCTAGATGAACACACGCCAGTCTACAGTCCTATTAAAGCATGGGACATGTACCACGTAAGTAAGCACAGAGCAGGAGCTGCTATGGATGGCAGACAGAAGAGATGTCTCATTCTGAGTGATCCATTCCCCCAGCTTTCCCAGAAGACCAAATTGTGAAATGTTTCAAGGAATGAAAACACAAAAGTAGGGATTTTGTACCTTTTCCTCTGCAGATTAAGAAAGCCAGAGGTCAACGAGTCAGAGCAGAGGAATCCCCGAGACAAGCTCAACACACACAGGCGGCAGCTTGCTTTCTCCATAGAATACGGCCGTTTCTTACCTGATCGCAGATCAGCTCCCACTTTTTCTCATTGTCATACTGCCGCAGCAATCTGGCTTTGTCGGGAGGTAGGTTCATAGCATTCTGTGGAAATAAAAAGTAAAACGTCCTGTTACAAACCAGAGTACCACCCAGGTAGAAAAGAATCACTACGGCCCTTCCACGCAATCACTGCAGTGCCCAGCATACGATTCAACCAGGACAGCTGCAGAAGACATTCCCACACCCCTCTGCATTTCATTTATATACGTAAATATATAATAGCATAGATATATAATATATAATACATATTTATATATTTCCATATTCGGTTGGTGGAAGGAAGGGTGGCCTGCTTTTAAACAACCAGATACACATTTCAGCAAAAGAGACTCTGTCCGTTCATTTTACAGCGGCCTCCCTTTGTAATCAATTAAAAGGTCAGAACTGGCTTTTCAGAAAGTATGGCTTCCAGTTCAGACCCAAAGACACCAAAAGAAAACTTCATGGCCAGAATCACTGAAAGAAAATGTTGTTTGCACCAGCAGTAGGTGACAGTAGAGATGCTTTCTACATAAGCCTGGCAACCTGAGCTCAACCCCCAGAACCCACGTAAAAGTGAGGCGAGAACAAAATAAAGGCAGATAAATAAATAACAATAATTGTCTTCTGTGCCTTCTGTGAAAAGATGCCATTCCTTCTAGACTTGCTGAGACCAGCCAATCAATTCAACCTTTAACTGCACTTGCAGATGAAGTTGAGCTTGCAGCGAGTCATCTGCACTAAGGTCAACAAGATATTTAGACATCAGCATCACACAAGTCCCTACACACACACATGCTGCAGAGGGGAACATAAACTTGCCTGGATGCAGGCATGGGCTATGACCCTGGTGTCTCATATAACCAATCATACATATAATAAAGATCCTTAGCAACAAGACTTGAGGCCAAGTCTGAGCCCAGAAGCAATCCAGATCAGTCTGTGTCCTCCCTAAAGTCCCCATGTTCTAGACAATTGGGTAAAGTACCCAATAAGGCATGATGTCTATTGATTATCCAGTCTCAAGCTTGACACATTACAGGCATCCTGTTCAAACCATGCAGCTCCTTGTCTAGGCCAACACTTAGGAAGACAGATACAAAAGTCTTGACCTGTCAATGCGCAAGACCCAACTCTCTGCAGGACTCGGTTTATAGCTAGACCGCTCCTCCTGCCACAGGGTAAATGGAATTTAGTAGAAGAGGGCAAACTATACTGACTTCACGGCAGGGATTCACCTGTGATGACTTGATAGGCCTAACCCTTTAAACTCAGCCTGACAATCATGATAATATTCCTAAAATAGATATCTACCATCTATCTATTTGAACCCAAGCCATCACATTTGAAATCTAGTTTCCTGCCTTCAGAATTTTTTAAATCATCTCTTTTAATGCTTTCGCTACTTTTATGCTGACAGTGTATTCAGAAGAATAGAGGATTTCCGAGTTTTGGGAGCTACTACTAAAGCTTCTTAAATATTGAAAAGCCTAAAAAATGGGGAGAGGGGTGATAGTTTCATGTGACCCAGCTCCTTGAAGAAGCTACTTAGAATAGAATGAAAAAGTATTTAATTGCACTTATGACTCTGATAAACATAAGCAGATACTGTCATTCTTCACCTTATTTTTTGAGACAGGATGTTTCATTGAATATGGAGCTTGCTATCTGGACCAGGTTGGCTGACCAGAAAGCCCTGGGGATCCAGCTCTCTCCATCAACTCTCTCCACCCACCAGTGCTCAGTTGCAGGCCCACGCCTCCATGCTTTGATTGTTATATCCACAATGGGGATGCGATGCCAGGCTTTCATACTGTTGTAATAAACAGTTTCGCCAATGAGCCGTCTCCCCAGGTCTCTCACTACTCAACTCTACCATGAACAGTACTCTTCCAAGGGCTTCACAACCTAAGAGAGAAGCCATCCAGTTGCCTACACATACTCTAGCACTTTACCCTTAGCAAAGTCATTTCATCATCCTGTGTCCCAGTTCCTAGGTGCCCAATATAGACACAATGGAAAATGAAAACCACTTGAAATATTATCTGTGGAGAAAGCTGGATTTATGACTCAGCAGAAAACAACTCTCAATGAATTTCAGAAATGGAGATGGTAGATTAATGTTATTGGGATATAAGGATCTTCCTTTCTCTTCATAGAAAGTAGAAAGTTTGAGGTTTTTTTTTCAGATGATTAAACATTTTGCAGTTTCCTAAGATTCTAATCCTCACCTCAATAGAAGTTTATGGTTTTGTAGGTCTCAGTTGTGACAGATGTGAAGACCTCTGGTAGTTCACTGAGTCCAGCTGACACTGTCCTCATGAACAGTTGAGGCCATTATTTTGGGGTGTAGAGTTGGACATTGTTACTGAGAAGCTTTCAGGTCTGAGTGCTAAGGTAAATGCTAGAAGCCAATTAAAGAAGCAGGAGAGCAAGTTAAAGGTAAGCCAGAATGAAGCATCAAGAGCAATTAGGGTCAAATGAAGCCAAGACAGAAAAAGGTGAGGCCTAAGGGGATCGTTTTCCAGCATAAGAATGGGGAATAAGAGCCCAGCAGGAGCAGTTGAGCTATGCAGGGCAGGACAGCAAACATACCTCTCTCAAACCTCCCGTGATCTGCATCCTATGATTTCCCTTTGGCTAAGACATTAGTCTCCATCTCCGTGGTAATGTTCATGCCCTACAAGTTAGGAGTGGACTCCACTTGCCAGCCTCAGCAGAGGTGCCTCGCACGTTACCCTTGTTGGCTCCCGTTTCTGATTATACACTCATTTCCCAATGCTGTTCATGACTTTATTTATCATTATCATCAGAATCTACTGGTCTCAGAGCATTTGTACCTGAATTGGGTAAAATTCTGGGCTCCAAGCCAAACTCCCAACTTAAAAGCACCAGGGACTGGATAAATAATAACAGAGAGCTCTCTTTTGATATAATTTTATCATTTTTGTTCTGCACAAAATACAGAAGTTACTTCAGAAAAGTGGGTCCTGTGTTTCTTCCTGGACACCTGGACTTTGG